AAATTTAATTTTTCGAAAACTGTCGTTAACAGTTGACTTTTACATGATATTTATTAAGGGTCGAAGCAACAGTTTTTTGTCTATAAAACATTTTCCTTTCAAATGGTTTTTGACAGTAAAATTTTAGAGTTCTCTTTTTTTTATTTTTAAACAATTAGATTACATTTATCAATTTGCAATTTAGTATTTTTCAAAAATTATACTTTTAAAGTACTAGGAAAGACGCTTCTTTTTTAAAAAGAAAAAGTTAAATTCCGTTTATTGGTTCTCGAGATACGAACGGTCAAAATTTATCAGCATTTACCGTTAATTTATAAACAATTTAGCAATAATCTTTGATCCAGTGGCTTCGTTTTTCCGAGTTCTAAACTGGAAAAAATTTGTATATACATAAGTTATCGGCAACATAGACAAATCAGCGGAAAAGCTGTCGCTCGCACGCGCGAAAAGTGACTCAAAACACGAAAAGTGGGGGAGGGGGCTTTCGCTCCGAGAGTGAATTCTGAAAACATTGCATTATATCGGATTCTAATGGACCAATTTCGATCTTTTTTTTTAATCTGATGTCTCGCGAACCAAGGAATTCGAATATCGTAATGCCAACTGTCTAATTTGCACATATTTTGTTATAAACAAAGTTTATTATTTATGCATTAAATATACTGTATATTTTACCCTATGCTCCCACTAAACATTTTTTCAGTTTCTGACATGTTCCAGAAACGTTTCCATTTTTCTTGAAACGTTTCATAAAAAATCCATGCAACGTTCTGGTAACCCAATAGAAACCGAAGATGTCCGCCTCAAAATACGTTTCCAATGAAACGTTTCAAAAAATTGGTTTCAGTAACATTCTTTTGATGTTCCATTTATGCACTCGATATTTTTGTTTTACGTTTCAGTATATTTTCAGAAATGTTTGAGTAACATAATAATTTGATTACCATATTGTTCTCATAATGCTCTCAACTTTAGATCATTTTCATTTCAAAAGCGTTTTTGAAATAGTATAAATAGTGTGAGTATTTTTTTAAATATCTCTAATACTCCTTTGTGATATTTTTATTTGTATTGTGAATGACTTAATTNGTTTCAAACTCTCTTCAATTGGAATGTTTCGGCTATGTTTCACTAAGTAAGTTTTCAAGTGCTACATTTCTGTAATGAAACAGCAACGTTTCTAGTTATTGTTTCAAATGTGCAGTAAAACAGCTCATTTGCAACGTTTCATTTACGTTTCGTGTTTAGTGGGCTATTGCATTTTTTCAATGAAAAAATTTGTATATTTCAACACTTTGAATATGCATATATTTAGTTATAAATATTACAATTATTTAAATAATTTTTTTTATTTGGAAATTAATTTTTTTGTTAAATACAGACAACATTAAGAAAAAAATATTACTTTAAAATTATAATTTTTGAAAAAAACTAAATTGCAAACTGATAAATGTAATCTAATTGTTTAAAAAGAAAAAAAAGTGTTAACTTTAAAAATTTACTGTGGCTGTCCTAATCAACCGATTTCAATTTTTCAAAAACCATTTGAAAGGTTGAGCGGTCTTCTCTATATGAAAACATTTTCAAGTGTCTAGATGCTTTATTTGAGGCTGTGCAACATTTTGAAAATTTGAAAATATGTTCAAAAAATTTTGCGAAAACTCGAACAGATTTTAATGAAATTCGGCGTTGTTTTATTATACTCTAAAGTTGTTTTTACCAAAATTAGAATGCCCTCGGAGCAATTAAAATATTTTTAAAAAATTATCCAAAGAACTTGATTATTTTGCCTTTTTTTCATCAATTATTGCTGTTTTACAACATCGGTAAATAATAAATTTAAACATTTTTAACTTACAGTATATTGTGCAAAATTCAATTCTAAAACTTTTTTCCTCTTCAATATTCAACCAAAACGCATAGGTTCCAAGAAATGAGTAAAAAACTCAAAAAAATAAAGTATTTTCAAAAATTTTTACATTTTTCCAATTTTGAAACTATTGCGGACCTCGCCCAGATCTAGGAACCTACCCTTATATTATGTAAATTGTACTGAAAGTAATCCAGAAAAAATTTGCTTGCCCCCTCTCACATCCTCCTCAAAACAGATCCGCCCCGGTCTGGTCTATATGACAATTTTGCAAGAACAGCTTTTCTTTTAAAGATCCCACTCACCTGAAACAACTTTTCGCAAAACTGGAATTACTTGGCCCCAAAATTAGTAGGTAATGCCATTTGTGTTCTTTCATTTAAATACTCCCTGTGTACTAATTGCTTTGTAGTAAAGGAACGAAAACCCTATTTTGAAGGTGGTATTTTTTATTAATCGACTTTTAAATACATACGCCCCATTTTTTTGTCCTACACTCACTACACTGTCTGTTTATTTGGAAATGAAAAGCCTTGCATTCCTAATAATATCCCAAAGACTGAGACACCCCGCTCGCAGTCAAACTATCTCAAACTACTCGAAACCCAACAAAACCCTCATCGGCCACAATATTCGAGTATTTTGTAAACTATTTTTACGTCACCTAAAAATAACCGAACCGACAAAAAAACCAACGGCGGCGACCCTTCCCTAATCGTGTTTTTTTTTAAAAACCAAAACACTCCGGAATCGTTTCGGGTGAACGACGACAAGGGGTGAGCAAACAGGGAACAACTGTCAGAGTCGGAAGTCGTGTTGGACATCGCATGTGTTAATACAGATCGGAAAATGTGGGTGGAGGTGACCTGTGGAGGTCGCGACTGTTTCCAGGTATTGCTGGGGGGTTCGATTCAGTCTGCACGGTCTTCTACAGGGCGATTCTTTTAGCGTACACAGAGAAACGTCCTGTCCTCAGTTATATGTACATTATTGCTCGAACTTAGTTGTAATGTGTAACTGACTTTTCTATTTGCAGGATAGATTTTACAAGTGCCTCTAAAGAATCCTCTGATGGACAACAACAGTTGAATACCTTAAGCTATCTGCAGCTCTTGTCACTGCGTTGCTATATTTTTGAATTTAATAATCTGCTTGCCTCGCAAAGTTGATCAGATACAAATGAAGTCATATCTCGACAACCGGCATATGGAACTTGTTAAAAGCAGAAGAAAGCAATACACGCCATACAGAATTCGGTGATAGATGAAGATTACTTGATTTATGACGAACACTAATTGAAGAGTTGTCAATGACGGCATCTATTATATCTTTTTCATTTTGTACATTCACTTCAGTAGGACGAATGGCCTTTTTTGGAGCGGGGTTACACTTTAATGCTAATTGTAAGTGTCAACTGAATAAACAAAATGACACAGATAAATTGTTATAGCAACCATCGTTTCTATTTATCAGGCTACTTTGATTGAAATATGAAATTATATATTTTTAAATGTTTGTACTTATAGCTGTTTTACATTGACAATTTATTCATCAATAAATTGACGAAGTTCTTCATCAATTAATTGATCAATAAATTGCCAATGTAAAACAGCTTTAAGAAGAAATGTTTGCAATTAACCCAGGCAAAGTTTGTCATAGAGCTTCTAGAACATCTTGTATTTTTAAAATATGGATTTAACTCTACTTGTATCCTGTATCCCACGCAATATCCATGTAAAATTTTTACATGAAAGTACCCTTTCATGTTGCACCGCGATGTTCATTATCCTAGAAAGAGGATATTATGTTTCACGTCGCAACTGTATGACAAAAAATATTCGTGTAGGTACCTATACATCGATACGCAGATCGAGTTGTTTACTCCATTAAAAAACTAAAATAACATATGTTTTACATTTTGTATTAATTCTCAAAATGCCCAAAAGTAATACAAAGGTAATTATATTTGTAGCATTTTTTGTTACCGTTGTGTATTTCTGTTACACTTACTAGAATCATTATTAAATAAATATGCCTATTGCATCTAATTTGTAAGTTAGGAGTGACTCAAGAGCCACTATTAGGTCTCCTTGTATTAACACAATTTATAAACGACCTATTTAAATACTATATGCTCGAATATCTCCAAAATTTAAAGTTTGACTTTCATGTAAATATAAATAATATCATTTTGAAATATTTCTTTATAAAAATCAACAATATTCCAACTCTAAAACGATAAACAAGTGTAACAAAACTTACCATGAAACAAGTTGGATTCGCAACAGTCACCAAATGTCACACCAGGTCGAATCGTGGTTCTCCGAACAGGAGATAATGCCCAATTAGCGCCGAAATATATCCCGGTACCGACGCGTGTCGCACGGTAGACGTCGCGACGCTTTGTAGGCAGGCAACACGTGCTCTATCCTCCACGACAGGCGACCGCGTTGTGGAGGGTGGCAAATGCGATAATAATAAAGGGGGTGGAGCGTCTCTGCACGTGAGGGAGGCGTTTACAGGTGATACACGCATAGATTTACTAGATCCTCTGATTGCTCCTCGAGGGGAAATATTTTTTAAGTAACAGTTGCGACTTTACAATTTTCACAAAAACTTTAATTTTTCGATTTTATGATTCGCATTTTGAGGTAAGTGTTGCATAATTTAGTTAATAAATCCTGTCACATCTCTGTTTGAACTAAAGTTCAAAGTTCGTTTGAACTAAAGAGCCTTAATAGTTGTTATTTTAAATTTAAAATAAAATTATCGCACCCGCTGAATGAATATAAAATTTCTTTAACGGGAATTGAAGTGTTTGTTTGAAATGTTTTAATTTTTTTTGGGAGCTCTGTCTCTGTTATTAAAGTTTGTGCGTACATTGAAGATGATTTGTTTTTTTATAGGTTAAAAATATATCTACAAAAATTTTTCTAAACATATAAATATGAATTTACAATTTTTATAAGACGTAAAATGATTTAAATAATCTAGACAAGAATACATCTATATTGTACCTTATTGAGTCGAGTTGAAATCGTTGTGGCTTTTTAAAAGTAACTAGTAATTTCCATATTATGCTGTTTGCCACCCTGTTTCCCTGCTACCTTTCAACTACAATGGAAATAGACAGCTGATTGCACGTTTTTGACATACTGTTGTTTTTATATTCTGTGTTGAATTGCACTTTCCGGCTTTGTTTAAAAAAAACGTTGTTTGGAATTCGTGTATTTGAATAAACATTGACATTGTGCAATTTTCAAGCAGACACGCAACAGAATATAGATGGATATATCAGTACCTTCCCGTTTTGCCTGCTTAAAAATAGAGGACGAAGAATTTCGTCCCGTTTCCAACAGGTCCACTAAAAAGAAACAGGAAAAGCAGGCGAAGAAAACCATCCCAGTTAATGGCAGCAGCAAAAAGGTACCCGGTCAACAGAACCAGGTAAATACTAAACGATTAAAAAGCTAAAAAAATTTAGTAAAATACGTTTTATTAGCCTCAGTCTTCTACTAATGCTTCATCGAAGAAAAGCAGAACAAAAGGGAAGAAAGAAGACAAGCAGTGGGAGGAGTGGAAGAGAAAGGACGATGAGTTTGTAAATGATAATTTCGAACAGGATTTGCAGTGTGCGATACTCCAATCGAAACTCGACTTTGAAAACCAAAAGAAAAACGCTTCGGTGTCAGTGATCCTTACAACACAAGACAATAAGATGAAGAAGAAAAAGACAAAAACTATGTCCTTAGATCAGTTCCTTGAGGACGGTAGTCACACTTCCGCGAAAGGTAAATCGCAATTCGCTGGTGTTTTGAATAAATAATATAAATAAAGTTTATGTTTGTAGATAATGAAAAAGATCCGGAGGTGGAAGATGGGAATTTTTTTGAAAACGTGATGGTATCTGCCAAGCAAGAATTGAAAAAGGAAAAACTAGAAGAAAAGCGAAGGGAAAGAGCGAGTAATATAGAAGAGGTTATTAGTTTAGCTCAAGCCCAGGTGAGTTACATAAATAAAACATAACGCCTTGTTTATTTAGTTCCGTTATAGGAAAAATTAGAAATAGAAAAAGCGAAGAACGAGCAATTGCAGCAAGAACTGGAAGAAGCCAAGAAAGAAATAGCACTGGTCAAGAAACGGAACACCACCCTGTGCAGCATGTTAAGCCAAGGGGAAAGTAAGTCGGAATTAAACCCTCGACCGTTCTTTACCGCTTTTTATTTCAGTGAAAGACAAGGTGGGCGTCCTCTTGGAATTAGAAAGACTGACCACCGTCAAAGAGGAATTAACCGAGGAAGTGGCCAGGCTGCATAAGTTGTTAGAGCAAGAGAGGTCTTCCACAAAGGCTAACAATGCCAACGTTAACGGGCTGCCAGAAACTCACAACGCAAAACACAAAGACAAGGTAAGAGTTTGTTTTTAAAAATTATTGGCTGCCGATTTGCTTTTTTTTTGAGTTCTGAAAAAATGTTTAGTTAGAAAGTGTTACCAAGCGTCGAATTTTCAGGCAGGCGAACAGCACTTTTGTGTACGTTGGTAGAAATAGGCTCCCTCAATCCCATAATTTTTACGATGTCGGTACTTTTGAAGGGGCTTTTTTGGGTTTTCTTAGGTAAATTTTCGTTTTTCTGCGGCTCCCACCAAAGACAGCAAATTTTCACTGTGGGAGAGAGAGGCGAAACTCGACGGGAACGCCCATTGTCGAAAATTCAAAAACCGACAATCTCCGGCAAACGTCACGTGGAATTTTGCATTTTTCGGGTCATTCGAATTGCGGTGGGTCATTATTTTGCCGTTAGGCTTCGACTCTGATTGTTCAAAGACGATATTGCATTTACATATTCCGAACGTATTGGCATTTTATTACTATGATTTTACCTTTTTTATGTTGTTACTTGCGTAAAAATCCGATGCTTAAATATTACCGGAAATATTTGAATGTTACATGTACGGCTGCAGACACAAAAGGTTTGACCTAAAACCTTTAATTAATTTATACAGGGTGATTTATTAGAATCTGATGTTAGATATTTTAAAGGCGCATGCGTGCAAAAGACTGCAAAATTTTAGGGCCGTCTGAGCTCAGTGAGTCTATTTTTTATGATTAATTAAAAAAATTTTAAATATTTTTTTAAGTTTAACACCTTGTATCTTTTTAACGAAGTGTCCTAGATAAAATTTTATATGAAAGACTCCTTAAAATTCACCAAAGAATGCGAGTTTTCATTTTTGGTCACCGTTTGTGAATCACCCTGTATACAACAAAATTAATAATACTTGTTTATAAAGGGCCCTGCATAGTTTAGGTAGAAAGCTTTTTATTGTCTACAGCTGTACATGGAAACGATATTCACTAAAACTGTTTTTCATTTCGACTTATATTTTCCTGAAATATTATTTTATGTATTTTCGTAATTTGTTCGTATCTTAGTATTTTTGCATGTCCCTTTTTGCTTTTGTGTTTATTTATTTATTTGTTCTTTTTGCAGCACAAGAAGAAGAAAAATTAACATTAGCGTTTCCTTTGTTTTGCCTGTTTTGTACGTTTTAAGACTGTTTTGATTTACTTTTAATTTTTGTATTGATTTTTTTTAATACTTAGATGTATCGTTTTCCTGTTAGTGAGAATCCGTTTAATCCGATACTTCTGTTGCTTTTCAGAATAAGAAGTAAAACTTCAATCAAACTATTAGTTGTAAGAGTACATTTAGTGTTTGTATTTTCATAACATACGTGCAGGCTGTTTTGTTGTTAAGAGAGGCGATTTTGTGATATCTTCGTACTTTGTAGGAAATTTCTCTTTTTTTTTATTTCGGGCAGTTTGAAACTTATTTCGCTGAAATCGTTCCGAATCCGCTCGAAATGTTCTAATTTCACTAAAAGTATTTTTTAAGTTGAAATGCCTCTCTTAATGTAGAGGAAATGTGTAAGTTCTAATAAGCTCTAATAAAATTTATATCTGTACTTCGTTTTTTTTTTTAGTATTTATAAGGAACTAGAAAATTACACAGAAATACTGATTATTCAGTGAAAACAATATTCCTTTATTCTCTATACACCTCTTTGAATATAGGGTTGCATAAGTAACTGAAGCGTATTCAATTTGCTCACGAAAGAATTTAAAATGTCCTTAAAAATGAATTTGACTGGTAGCTTTGCTTATGTATATACTTCACAAACAATCATCTAGTCATCGAAATTGGAATGGTCGAATCTCCAATCTTCAAAATAATTTTTTAAGCACCATCTGAAGATCTAAGCTGTGAAATGGAATACTCCTTTTATTTGAAATTTGACATTTCACATTTGACACTTGACGTCTGCAAGTCCGTGACGTTTGACATCTGGCATTTTCAGATTTAACTGCGTCCTAATTTTTTTAATTCGACTTGCGACGTGTTACAAACTTGCTTTGCATATCTCGTACCGTTCATCGTTCAAAAAGCCGGTTGAAAGGATAAAGGTCTGTTACTACACAATAAGAGGTAAGACTTTTTCAGTAAATAACTATTTTAAGCCATATTTTATAATATGTCGTAAATGAATTGGAAAAAGTTATCGTTAATAATTAAAAAATAATTGTCCCGTGTTTGTTTTACGAATTTGTGCCGTTATCGCTTGTAATTAGTGTAGGAAATTGATAGAAAATAGAGTAATCATTAATCAATGTATTAACAATTATTTCGTTTCTAATTTTTTGTGTATTTTTTATTGCCAAGGAAAAACGATACCTGATAAAACTTGGGTCTAATATAGCGATTAGAAGTGTATATTTTTGAAAAGATATTCCTATACACTGTGGTATCTATATCCAGTGCATCCGATTTGTTAACTTTTATTGATGCAAACTTCTGCTCAGCAACATTCCTTTGATCTAAAATTAACTATCATAAACAAATGTTGGGCAATCATCTTTAATTATTATTCCTTTCCAAAACGATCGTTTTGCCCACATTATCATAAATAGGTGTTTCCGTGGGCAGCATATCAACTATGTCAGTGTAACCGCCTCGAAACAGTACAGTAAATAATGTACATGTTCTTAATGGGTGGTAAATAAAATAAAAATAGGCGTGCCTGGAGTGAACTTTATTGGTTTAAATTTAGGTTTACCTTGGCTTTCCACACTTGCCATAAATAAACTTGTTCAAAAGGCAAGTCTGGCCGTTGAAGTGTGGAGGTCCCTGTGGTGATCTCAAAATATTTTTCTGGCAGAGGTGCATTGCATTTATATACTTTTTTATTGATACAATGAGGCATTCATGTTTTGTAGTTGAATTTTGAAATTTTAAGTAATAATGTTTCTTTAGAACATTATTTAGAAACAATAATTGTATACAGGGTGTTTTGTTAGTAATTGGATGTAAGCCAACTAGATAATCCTTATCCCAGAACAATGTGGAAAACAATTAGGCTTCTGTTTATCAATGGTCAAAGTCTGGTACAAATAAAGTGGGTATAGTAATATAATAGATATTACTTTTAAAAACAAGAATGACCTTATTTTGCTTCAAGGTTCTGAATAATAACAATAATTTCATTTTTAAAAGAAACTATAAAGACAAACAAAAATATGTTTTATATTTTCCATTTTCGTTATATTGAAACAAAAACGTTAAATAGGCATGTGAATAATAAAAAAAGAACTAAACGTACATAAAAAACAATTTTTTATAATTCGAGGCCAATAATATTTAGATAATATAAATATTTATGAAGTCACTACTACAAAATCAACATATTTTTAATATTTTTCTAATTTATAATTATTTCCTTGTATTTGACTTTATATGTATATGTTACCTTGTAATAATTATTTATTCAATTATATGTCTAATGTATTTAACATCGTCGATGGTTTGTTAATTAAATCGGTTGTGTTATTATGTAAATATCCTTGGAGTAGAATTGCTTATTAATGATGATGACTAATACAAATTTACATGATATGTCATTTGCACAATATCCCTGGAACTTTTATTCCATTAATACAATATATGAGCGGACATAAATATGTATGTTAGAGGGCAATGACTGATTGATTTTTCAATAGAATGATAAAAATAAATACATTTTCTTAGTGTAGTATCGATAGGGTTTGAACCATGACGGACCGTTTGGATCTACTGCTATTGGGGGCCACAGGCTTCACGGGAATTCACTGCATTCCCTATTTACACAAATTCTCCAAGTCCAGTGGCCGCAACATGACCTGGGGCGTTGCTGGCCGCTCGGAAGAGAAACTCAAACAGGCTTTGGAGAAAATTGGAAAAGAAATCGGTAAGATTGAGCGTCAATTTCAGTAAAAGATATCGTTTTCATTTTGTGTCGGAATAAAAAATATTTTCCATATTTTATTTTGAAAAATATCTAGAGTGCGTTAATCTGTATCTTAAAAAAAAGAAAAATCGAAGTAAATAAGATTTTTTATACAAATGAATGTGTTTCCATCGTGGATAGTTCACACTTTATAGCAAATTTGTAGAAGCGGATCTGGAGAAGATCCCCACCATAGTTGTCGACATCAACGATGAAGAGTCCTTGTTGAAGATGGCTCAAAGGGCGAAGGTCGTCATAAACTGCTGTGGCCCATTCTTCCCCACCTTGGGGGAAGCCGTCGTAAAGGCCTGTATTGCGGCGGGAACCCATCACGTGGATGTTAGCGGCGAGCCACAGTATATGGAGAAAGTCCAGTTGGAGCAAAACGTGGCGGCCAAAGAGAAAGGTAATTCCTATTTTCAGCTCAGGAACGTTATTTTTAATGAGGAGTCGTTTACTGTTCTTTGTTGGGGCTGATCGAACGTCAAAAAATAATATTTTCTTTTTTTAAATTAAATTTGGTCATATCTTTTTCAAACAACAATGTATTGCTCTCGAATTTGGTACAAAGTCTTTGAAGATGCCAAATAAGTGTAAAAGAGAGACAACTGTGTCATGTCAGTGCTTGTCATAAGCATACAAGTGGAAAGACGCGTTATTAATTTCACTTTTTAGTTATTCCAATAAGTATCGTTAAAAATGGAACCGCATGCAGGTATTAGTGTCTAATTTGTCTAAAAATACAGTTGAATTTAAAAAAAATCTAATTTTATGATCTTTATTTAAAAAAAAAACTATTTTCGTGATCTATGGAAGAAATCCTCTATTTCTTCGAAGTGTAAGCATCGTGATTGACGCTCGATCTATGTTCAGGTGTGTACGTGGTCAGCGCCTGTGGTTTGGATAGCATCCCCGCGGATCTAGGTATCGTTTTCCTCCAGCAAGAGTTCGAGGGTACCCTTAATTCCGTTGTCACCTACATGGAGGCGTGGGAGGAAGGTAGTCGATCTACACCGGGTTCCGCAGTGAATTACGGTACTTGGCATTCAGCCGTCACTTCTCTGGGTCATTGGAACGACTTGGTCGAACTGCGTAAGAAGTTGTTCCCCAAGAAGTTGCCCAAGTTCGAGCCGCAATTGAAACATAAGTAAGTCTATGCGATCTGTTTTTTTTACAGTTACGAGACTAATGGTATCGCGGGTAGTGAATAAATTTATCCTTTTAGGGTCATGCCGCACAAATCTAATGTCGTTGACGGCTGGGTCGTTCCGTTCCCCGGCTCGGATCGTTCGGTGATAAAGAGGTCCCAGTTGTACTTTTACGAGGTGGATCAAAGAAGGCCCGTACAAGTCGGGACTTATTTCGTTGTGAAATCGCTGATGGGGCTGATCCTATTGGCCATATTCGGTACGATTTTCAGCCTCTTCACTAAATTCTCGTTTGGAAGAAAACTTCTATTGAACGTAAGTCGAAATATCCCACGTGTCATTGGAAACCGATTTTTTTCATATTTTCCAGTATCCGGAGATTTTCAGCGGCGGTTACTTCAGTAAGAAATCGCCTCCGGAAGAGAAAATCCAAAAGTCTTGGTTCCAGATTACTTTGTACGGCGAGGGGTGGAAGGAGAAGTTGACGGACAAGGACGACCAGTACCCCAAACCTTGCGACAAGTGCATTGTGGGGCGAGTCAAGGGGAATAACCCCGGGTACGGGGCCACATGTGTCTGCTTGGTGTTGTCGGCCATCGTAATTGCCACCGAGAACGATAAATTGCCTGGAAAGTAAGTTTTTTTTTTGTTTTTGCAGGTATTGTACTGAGTGTCCAACTTTTCTGTTCCATAGAAATTGCTCCTTTCCATTCCGTCCTTGGTTTCTCCTTTACACACGTCTTCTTAGTATTTCTTTCTTAGCGTTGACTAGATTGGCATTTGTTTTGTAACGTTTTGATCGAGACTGAAGCGTCGTTCGTTTCAGGGGAGGAGTTTTGGCTCCGGGGGCGGCGTTCGCAAAGACGTCCCTCGTCAAACAGCTGAACGAGAACGGCGTCACCTTCGATGTCATCTCGCAGAAGGATCTGTAAACCACGACTGGCTCGCAATTTATTTATTTCATAAGGGTTACTGCAATTACTAAGTATTTTAATATGCATTTAATCGTTTCTGTAGGTATTAGATTTACACGTAACTTAGTTTTGTACTCGATTCGTATTGATATTTTAAGGTCGGCCATATTTCGGGATAACAAATTGTGTTTTTGCATTGAAGTTAGTCAAAGAACGTGAATTAGATACGGAATCTGTTTGTTTGTTTTTTTTTTTAATTGAAGTAATGTAATGTTTGTAGGGTTTATCTGTACGTCTTATACTTTTGCAATGGCTTAATGTATCTCTAGAGACTGACAATGTGCTTTATGATGGATTATTAATTATTATCGTGTATACTGTTGTAACGGTCTAATAAAAATTTATATTTTATTGGAAGTTGGCTATTTTTTCTGTACATGCGACAAGGTGGAGGTGGATTTCTACGCCTAAACAAGGAATTTATGAACGCTAATCTCTCGCACGAAGGTGTTCACATGGAATCATCTCGGATACAGTAAGTACAGAGGTTTCATAAATGATTACAAGCCACGTGACCCCCGAGCTTAGGCAACCAACATAGCAATGTCAAAGTAAAAATATGTACATTTTAGTGTTACCAATATTAATGATTCGTTTACAATGAATAGTGACAAACTGTTGAGTTTATGCTCGAGATACTGCAATTGCCAACTGGTTGAATAGAATCTCGTGAAAAATTAATAACGCCAATCGCCAGCTGGCGAAAGAGAAAGTTGTGTTCTAACGTATCTAATCTAAGCATGGATTTGATATTACTAATATTCTTTTGTGCTGAAGAAAGTGAATAAACTGAAAGTGATTTTTATTCGCTTCAGCTTGTACAGAAAAGAACAATATCGGGATAAAATGTTGGTGTTGAAAGGAGTTAATGTTTGAGGTTATAGTTTTGTTTTCAATTTTCATATTTGTAGGTACTTTTATAGAGTTCTAGCAGGTTAGAATGAAAAAACAGCCTCAAATTCTAGTAGTGGTAGTAAGAAGTTAGTAAGTAGCAGTAGCACTTCTAGCAGCACTTCACTTATTTACTCTGACTGTGACATAGCTGTTTTACTTGGACAATTTCATGAATAAATTTACGAAGTTCTTCATGAATTAATTTACGAATTTATTTGAAAACGGTTTGGTTTTACACTACACTGCTACAGACTTATTTGATACATGAGTCAGTTCTACCCCAGATTATCAAATTAATGCTCTACCAACAAAGAAGCAAATGAATTTCAAAAATGTCACCTTTCCACTCTTAATTAATTGTAGTGGTACAACAGCGGTACTGTTTTGACACATATATAAATATTAATTTTGTAAGTAACAAATCTGTAAAAACAATATAAAACTAGTACGACGCCACAAAATTATTTACATTTTCCGATAACAACCCATAACCTCCTTACTGATTTGAGATTGTTTGAGTTTGAAATTTGTGGCTGGAAATTTGTTGGGTTGGTACTTCTGAACTTAATTAGAACATGTTCTAAATTTAAGTTCATGCAGTAGCGATTTGCAGATTCAATTTGATTGGTTGAAATAAAGAATTTTTGACATCAATTTCTTCATTTCAATAGCTTTGTTCCAAGTGCATTAGAACATTAGGCATTATTAGTGCATACTGCATAGACGCAATCGCATTTGATTCAAAACAATAAATTTTGAACCTTATGTAAGCATCATATCCATATGCGCATGCGTCTGACTGTTGAAAACTGTTTTGGATTCTACTAGGAACAAAGCTAATACATACAGGGTAGGAAAGTACCGATGGTCTATCTGAAGTTACGTGAGAGCGATAAAGTAAGCCATAGAAATCCATGTGATAGAGAAGGATGGCTATAATGATGGCGTCTCATAGTCACCGCCCGTTTCGCCCTTCCACAAATAAGAAGTGGATCTTATTTGCGGAAGGGCGAAACGGGCGGTGACTATGTGACTTGTTTCACAGCGAAGTATGTGAATTACTTAAAAAAAGGTTTAAAAAAACTGATTTCACAACGGAATTTATTATATATGTTTATGGAGGTCAAAGGCAGCCTTCGTGTAAATATGACCCTCATTCAAACTTACAAAAGTTATATGTATTTAGATACACAAGGTGATTCAAAATTCAGTACAAAGAATTTAGAGGCGTATTTTTGAGGTCAAAATAAGACCTTTTCTTACTACAAACGTGAGTCCTCAAATGCTTAGTTTTCGATACACAGAATGTTAAAGTTTTTTATTGTTTTTGATTTTTTAGGAATAATTTCCAAACAAATTTGAAAGTTGCCATAAAACTTGGGGGACGGCGGTTTTTTAGGATGCTAGATTTAATTTTTTTTAGTTTGGATATGACAATAAAATCATCACTTAAAGAATAAGACAAAATATCAATGAATGAAAGAATGTTCAAATTGGTTTCCCTCCACTTCCATACAATAATAAAATCTTTGCTCTACTTCCGAACGAACATTTCGAAGCATTTCGGGCGTTATCTGACGACCCTAAGGGGTAGCTTCCGAGACACCAAAACTTACGCTATCACGTGTCCCCCTTTTGAAAAGAAAATCGATGTGACAGGTTTTTTTTGTATTTTTTTCCTTCTGATATTTTCCAGGTGGGAGGATTTAATTGGAACATCCTGTATATGAACTGTTATTTACATACTAAGCGTAACACGACTTTTTTGTTGACAGCTTAGTATTCCAAACCTTCTTAAAAATTATTAAATAAAATATCACTATGAAAAAATTAAAAACTAAACTGCAAATTTGAGAATGTGAATGATACATGCTCACATCTCAAATTCCTTACAACTCTTTCATTTGTTTGAACACAGGTCTGAGGTCAGGAGCAAAAAATTATTTGTGCGTGAATACTTTACTCAAGGCAGCGACTGTCGTCTTTTGTTTTTGTAAGATGTAGCGACATTTCAAGGATCTACAAAAAACATTTAATAAAACCGGTCTCGTCTTCAAGAATACTATTTTTTATAATTTGTAAAATGTGAACATCTGTTTCTTATACCTGTATATCTGAATTTAATTATGTTTCTTATGATTAACAGAATTTTAATTAACTAAAACAGACTCAAACTTTATTTTGACATCAAAATCCTAACAATTGGTATGTTTAAGCAAAAATTGACCACGTTATTTTACGAGATACGAAAGAAAAGTGTAAGAGTGAAAATACGACTTAAAAAAATGGAATGTATTTTGCTGTGCAATTTAAAAATTTTAAAAACATGAACAATATCAATTATTGGCCCGTTTGATTTAAAAAAGGAATAAAATCAACTATGAAAGTAAAAATTTATAACATCGAGTACCTGTTTATATGCATTTTATTATACACCCTGTATTTTTTTAAACATATGGATTTCTGAGAAAATTCTATATATGGCAATATAAACATTTTAACATTTTAGTGCGGGGTTGCCAAGTAGGTAATGTAGAAAATTCTTTGAATTTTGGAAAAAACATGACCTCGAAGAAGTTGTATTAAGTTTCAACTACCAACACTTATTGGAGCAAAAATGTTTAACAGAGTTATAGGCAAATGTTAGGCAAATACTCCTATATTAGCTAAATATCGATGTTTTATACAGGGCATTTTATAATACAATCAATTTAAGAAAGTTTAAACTTGATTTTCTAAAATTTTTCAAATGGAACACCCTGTATTTTATTGTTCTATTTTATTCGCATATCAGTCCACTTCAACTTTTATTAAGAATGTTCTACACCTAAAGTTGTTAGTTTTTAAGATATAGCAACATCTTTGGAAAACCTAATTTTTATTATTTTCGGTGGCACGAAATGGCTTTGGAAAAAACTTTCACATTGTGTCAACCTGTCAGTTCATAATTTATCATTCCATTTTGAGTTAATTTTATTAGTTAATATTTATTTGTGGTACTTAATAAAATAATAAAAATTAAGTTTTTTCAGAAATGTTGCTATATCTTAAAAACTAACAACTTTGGGTGTAGAACATACTGAATAAAAGTTGAAGTACACTGATATGTGAATAAAATAGAACAATAAAATACCATTTGAAAAATTTTACAAAATCAAGTTTAAACTTTCTAAAAATGATTGTATTATAAAAAATGAACTGTATAAAATATCGATATAGATCTAACTAATATAGGAGCCATTGTCTAACATTTGCCTATAACCCTGTCAAATATTTTTGTTCCAAGTGTTACTAGTTGAAAGATACAACTTCTTCGAGATCATGTTTTTCCAAAATTCGAAGAATTTTCTACATAACTTGGCAACCCCGCACTAAAATGATAAACTGTTTATATCGCCATATATTGAATTTTCTCAGAAATCCATATGTTTAAAAATATACAGGGTGTTCCATTTTAAAAATGTAATATTTGGCGTGTCCCGTTTTTACTCATCATCCTGTATGTATCAAATTAATTTTGTAGTTTAGGTCTCTTGATTCTGTATAACTTTTATATAAACTTTTTTTCCGTTTTATGAATAACAAGCGAGTTATTTTACTTTCTCGCACTAATGGCCCACCTTGTATATTCTTCAATGTGAGCACAGTCTTAGAACTATTCTATTTTTCATAATAATCCGAAAACGGAACGAAAAAATTACTTGAATTTTTTTTTCTTCAAATTAAGATAAATAATCAAAAATCTTCTATACAATGGAGAATTGATAAAGTTGCCATAAATAAAGAAAAAAAGTTTTAATTTAAAAGATTTTTAACAGAATAGTACTCTTCCAAAATACTCGTATAACAATTGTTCGACCGCGACCGCTGCGCACAGGGAAGGTCCGATCGGAGAGATATTGGTGCCGTGTAGATTGGACCTGTCTGCGTTGATCCGAAGCCGTCCTGACATTCGATGATTAATTTTAGCTATTATAATATAACTTTGGATGTTTCCCAAGGCACATATTTCTCTTTTTTACACTAGACATCGTAAATTGCTTTAAATATTCTAATAATTAATTTCTCATCTTCCTCATTTTTTCTCTTGTAAACAAATCCGCCATAAAAATAATATCATTTTTTCACAGACATTTAAATGTTCAATTCTGGGTAGTCGCGATGCAAAAGTTCGAACACCGTCCGAGCAATGTCTGCCCCAATGACTTTGAACACTCGAACTCGAGTACGATGATAATTATACCGAAAACCTGCTTTGCCTGCAACGTTAGTTGATCAGATCACGCGGCGTTACGACAGATACCACTTACAATTAGTGCGCAGTGGGTCAATCACCCGAATTGCTCTACATGTTAAATATGTCAGATCGTCTAGATTTATTGTTACTGGGTGCTACGGGGTTTACAGGAAAACGGTGCGTTCCGTATATCAACAAATTTTGCCAATCAGATGGCTACAATTTGACATGGGGGGTTGCTGGACGTTCGAGATCAAAACTGGAGCAAGTATTAAGGAACGTTGGGAATGAAATTGGTACGTACAGAATTTTTCGTACTATTTATAAGTACTTGTAAATAATGAACACGCAAACAAATTTGCAATCAATAAGTGTCTAAAATCTATTAAATTAATAAATTGTATACCCTGTATAGCGTACAAAATTAATTAGTGTAGTCTATTTGAATTGGGAAAATAAAAAAAATGATTAAAGAGGTATATCGGGGTCTGAGGGAAGTGAGGAGCGCAGGGGGGTCCTATGCTTTTTTTATGGAACTAAAGCCCGCTGCCAATTTGAAAAAATTAAATTCTATTAAAATTATTTGCCATAAACATTATCTATATAGTAAAGAAATCTACTCATATGCACATAGCATACATATTGACTAATTAACAACATAAAAATATCATATTTCAGTAGTTTTAAATTATATTTAATGAACGCATAAAGACTATGTAGATGTGGCAACAGCGCTAATAATTGACTAGCAGTTGTACACACTGCGAACCTACAGACCTCGGACATCGGAGATATTGCGCGTCAAATTCGGATAAAGATGCGTACGCGTTCAAAAATGTATTGTGTGTAAACTATGTACAATATAATTATTATATATAGCAAATATATATATTATCCTCGCGAAGATTTGTATCCTTTATTTAAAATCCGTAAATCATGTGAACTGGTAAAACAACGAGAATTATGTTAATTTAGTTCTATAGAAATGAAATGACACTCGCTCGCGCCGATCTCTCGTCCAAGTCGAAGAAAATGTTGAATGCAATTTTGAAGGTTCTGTGATAGAAATTACATTATTACTCACAAAAGTTTTGCAACTATAACTAATTTTTTAGATATAAAGTTTGCTGAGAAATATTTATGTTCCTTTGTTATTCCGTATAAATGCTTTATTTCAAGTATTACTAATTATATTAATCAAGTAAAGAAAACTTTATGTAACCCTAAATATTGCTGTGTAATGTTTGCGATGTTTTTATAAACCATTAAATATATTAAAAGGATTTATCAACTGTATTTTTTATTCCAATAAATATATCACAGCTTCCTAGTATTTTCTAATTAATCTAGTTTTTTAAAAACATTACAAAAAATTTAGGAATTTCGTTTTTATCAAGTCTTTCAAATGTATTTCCTCCTTGTTGTCAGCTGATTGCAACGTTGCTACATTAATCTTCAAGTCAGAGTAGTCAGACAGAAATGCAATTATTGGTTTCTGTTCTAATTAATATAGCTGTACTATGTTCAACACTTACATTAGTTTTACATCAAAAATAAGATAATACTGTGTACTATCTATGGAAAAGTTTTGTTTCACAATTTCTACATTTTTTGCTCAGTTATGGGCAAAAAAAGAGCCTCGCACCGTCCATCTTCGCCATATAAACCTATGTTAAAATGAACAACTTTCAACAACAATATCTCAAAATATAGATTAAAAAAAAAATAATTAAAAAAAAATATGACGCACAGGGGCAATACGCTATATAAATTTCAAGTATATCTGTGCATTTGAGTAAACCCGATATACCTCCTTAAGGGAAAGTTAAGAATAATGGAAGTTAAATAAAAATGAAATTTTGAAAAATAAATTTATACGATATACTAAATAATATTGAACCTACAATTTGAACAATTGTTATACTAGTGTTATTATAATAATACCATCAAAAAGTTTTCCATCTTCTGCAACGAAACTTGTAGTAGGTACAATATTTTTATTTCATATACCACCTAGACACCTAGACCCTAGACCAGGGGTCGGCAAGTAATTTTAGGTGGGGTCCGGATACTTTTGAAAATTTTTAACGAGGTCCAAAAAAAAATTTATATTATTTTTTTATTTTAATTTGGACTCAAATTTAATCTGCTTACTAACCATTAAGAACTCACACACTCACACAATTGTAAAATACTAGAAAAAATGGTAAGATTGGCACTTAAACGTAAAAAACATATTTTAAATAATTTATTTGAGTAATTTATACTTTAAAAAAATTTTTGGCGGTCCAGTATTTTACCTTCCGCGGTTCGGATCTGGACCGCGGTCCGCCTGTTGCCGACCCTTGCCCTAGACCCTACCGTAGACCATACATTAATACAGAAACTAAACTGGCTGTATCTAATTCCAATGCATGGGTATCAGTGAAAGCAAATTGCGGGGAAGTGGAGTGTGCGAGGTAATCTGACTGCGCAAACCTTAGAGCATATACTACAGGTCCGGATTAAACAATATTTTTACACTTCTGACAAATATTCATTTTTCAAGTTTGGAATTCAGAAAATAATATATTTTAATGTCTTGCTTATATTAAATAGACCTACAAAATAATTTAAATATAATTTATTGATCTTTATTTAATATTTGTCTTTTCGTATATTTTACTGAAATAAATATTTTGAGTTCATGATTTATTCGTACATCGATATGCTTTTCACAATCGGCCCTTACAAGTTCTATTAAATGATTACAATTGTTAGGGAAGTTCATGCAAATTTTCAAATATGTTCACATTCAAAAAGTTTTTTAATACATGATACACAATTTTATTTTTGTGTCGCTTGAGTGTACTGTTTTTATAGTTATTAAAAAAAAATATATTATTTCTGTTTCTTAAATTGTCATTTTTCTTTTTTAAACAACGTTTATTTTCTGCGCTTTGAAAAAGACAGTGAAGTATTTAAATAACAAAAGATGGATTGCTTCCCTTGAACATAAAATTATGACGCACATGCAGATTTTTAGAAGTACATTGTATGAATATAAAAGATTACGAATTAAAATAAATTTTAAGGTCTGCTGTTTAATATGCAAACAACAAAATGCTATTTAACAGGTATGTTAAAATTCCATAATTTATCTATAACACAGCATGAAAAGTGGAATTTGTTAATTCTTAATTTACCCCAAAAAATAAGTTATAAAATTGCAACAATTAGGATATGTGAGCCTAGAACTCGACTTTCAGTTTTTTTTGCGATTGTGAGCGAATATTTTCGTGCGTAATAACAAGAAAAAGTTAGAGCTATTCTCAAAATCGGTAATATGGTGTCACGTTAAAATTTATACAAAAAAGTGCTAAAAAAAGTAAAATGGACCCGTGAGGGACATGCACCCCTTCTACAACTTTTTTTTATAATGCAGGTACTGATTTGCAAAAGATACCCATATTTGTTGTTGATGTGAACGACCAAAAGTCTTTGGATAAGATAGCGCGAGAGGCTAAAGTTGTCATCAACTGCTGTGGTCCTTTCCGTTTCCTGGGGGAACCAGTGGTTAAAGCTTGTATAGCCGCTGGTACGGATCACGTGGATATTTCAGCTGAACCACAGTTCATGGAGAAACTGGAACTGGAACTGAATGACGCAGCGAGAGAGAAGGGTAATGTATATTTTTCTTAAGAGGGCTCTATAGCGAGTAGGCAACCAGCAAAACATTTTTATAGATTTTATTATCCAGTTTGTCTAAATGTGATTTAATGCACAAACAACAGACTTTCCCCCATTTTAACGCAGATTTTCTATAAAATGGACTTGGTTTGAGACTCAAATAACGTTTTGGTGTAAAGAAATTTGTAATTTACAATGCCGTTTGTTCAAAATTACACATTTTTTTGTGCACTAATTCATATTTAGACAAACTGAAATGAAACAAAGCCCATTGTAGTTCAGTGAACTATACGTTCTCCAGCTTAAATTTAAGACTGTGCTGCGTTGTCAAGACCAATTTTCTGGTTTTCTTTCATTTCGCGCACTTTACCTTGTTTACAATTTTCATCACATACTTCAAAATGTTTCTTCTTACTACTATTTTATTATGAGTTGTTCTATATTCGTTAATATTTCGACTAAGTAGTGTTGTTGCAGGTGTTTATGCTGTGACAGCATGTGGATTTGACTGCGTTCCGTCTGATCTTGGCGTTGTTTTCCTCCAGAAACAGTTCAAAGGTACCTTGAATTCCATACAAACGTATCTGCAAACTTGGACAGAAGAAGACGGCCACAACAAGTCGATGATCGGCTACAATTCTAGTTCTATAATAAATGTTGGCACTTGGGAATCTCTTGTTCATGCTGTAGCTAACTGGAAAGAGATTGTACAAAATCATAAGAAGTTATTTCCGGAGAGTATGTCCAAATATCAACCGGAAGTCAAACAGAAGTAAGTGATTCGAGGTATTTTAAAAGGTAATGTACATAAATGGACTTGATTGTTCATCTCTCGGACAGGGTTTGTTTTTGGAACCAGATCAGGGAAAGAACGAAATTGTAGCATTTTCAGTACAGTTCCAACTTTGCTTATAATTACCTTTTATTTAAAGTTTTAGTAGAAGGACGTTCCTTCTTATCCTTTTTACATTAATCTCTTCCATATAGTACTAAAGCACGCGTCTTTTTAGATATGTTCCTCATAGAAGCAAAGTTGTGGAAGGCTGGTGTGTCCCCCTACCCACAGCAGATGCCTCGTCGATAAAAAGAACCCAAAAGTATTTGTTCGAAGTGGAACGTAAGAGGCCTACACAAATCAACACCTACTACGTCGTGAAATCATTCACCGAAGTGTTCGTAATTATATTATTCGCTCTGATGTTCTATCCTCTTACTAGGTTCAAGTGGGGCCGCAGTCTTCTGCTGAGGGTAAGACTTATCCTAAATTAAGAGGAAGCGTTATTACTTGCCGTTTCAGTATCCAGGAATTTTCTCTCTTGGCATGTTTAGAAAAGAACCTCCAACAGAAACAACTATTCGGAATACCTGCTATCAAGTTTTGCTTTACGGCGAAGGTTGGGACGATCGTGTAGGTCCTGGCGATTATCAGTATCACAAGCCGTGCGATAAGTGTATCCTTGGACGCGTCAGTGGAAGGAATGGTTACGAGGTGATTTGCATTGGAGTAATCCTCTCGGCGATAACGATCATCACCGAAAAGGAGAAGTTACCCAAAGGGTATGTGGTAATCATAAATGAACAAAGAAGTTGTACCTATATTTCAGAGCACAGCTGATGCACACTATGCGTGCACGCGCAGACTTGTCCTACGGAAAAAATGTAAACAACTATTATTGTGAAACATTTAGTAAATTCCAAGACAACTGTTTTCCAGTTTTTAAATAAATAAAATAAAATGTATTGATTTTGTAATGTGAAGATAGTATTGTGCTTAAATTTTAGCTCGAAGTTTATTAATTGTGAATAACTTAAAACAGGAACTTTTAATCAAACTGTGAATTTGAAAAATATGTAATTAAAGTACCCAAAGATTCAAATAATCATACGTATTAAAAATAATTTATGGACCTACCAAAAAGCAAGATTCAGTAATTTTTAAACGCAAACGCACAAGTACAAAACAAACTACAACATATGCTCAAAATGTCCACCACTATTTTCGATGAACGCACGACACCTTCGACTCCAATTTTCGCGCACTCGCTGGAAAACACCTCGGGAAAAGGAAATAGTGGTACGCAAAAACACTCCGACCGGGTCCAATTCCAGATACCAACACCAAAAAGGTTAAAATTAAAAAATCATTTTTCACAATGGAACTCTCTGTATATGATTCAAATTCAGAATTAAATTGTTTTCTAAAGACAACATTACTTTTGTGTAATATGTTTAGTATAAAATATTATTTTGGCGATTCCCCATTTCTTCTGAAGGAAAATATGTAAATAATTTGATTTTTTTTATGTTTCAGGGGCGGAGTGTTCTCAGCAGGGGCATGTTTTGCGAAAACGACTTTAATAGACCAACTTGTCAAACAACGCGTGGAATTTGAAGTGATTTATCAAAAGAAAATTGTAGAATCACCGGAATGAGTTGCAGATGAAGCTTGTATTATTTCAAACTGGACTATTTTTTGGGAAAAGAAAAATCTAAATGTTATCAAATTTTTATACATGAAAATTGTTCCTTCAAAGAATAGTGTCGTGGTGAAGTTAATTTTAATATTATACGTATATTTATACATGTTTTAAATATATTTTTCGTATTTTTTTATCCATATTATTACAATTTTCTACAATTCCTTTCCAAAGATGTAGTCAGAAGGTTTACATAAAAAAAAAATTGTTATAAAAACGTGTTTTCTGGATGAATTTTCTTATTTTCTAAAATATGAGATCTGTTTAGAAAATAACTGAACTTTTTGCTTTGAGGTCATCAATAGTCTGAAAACGGCGTCCTCTCAGCACTGATTTTAATTTCGGAAATAAGAAAAAATTGCAAAGAGCCAGGTCTTGCGAACTAAATGAGGTCATCAATCTAAGAACATGTTACAAATGAGGTTATGCGCAAATAATAATACTCCAGAACATTTCCGTGTATATCAATTTTTGAAACAATAGGAACAACAGTTTGTACAAGGGCATCTACAGTTAGAGTTTAATTTTCCATGTATTTAATTTATTTAACCATACCAAGTGGAACAACCTTTAAAAATAGCTAAACATTAAAAATAAACACTTACTGGTCTAATGGTCAAAATGAGCTATGTACCACCTCGTTTTTACTGGGTCAGTACTTATCAAACGCCGACTTGTTCTATGGACGCCTAGGTCACCCGACCTAACTCCATTAGACTTTTTTTCTATGGGATCATCCAAAAAATATTTTACCATCTACCTACTAGTGAGAACTAAAACCTCCTTAAAAGAAGTATAAAAGAGTACAGAGTGACCCAAATTACAAAAAACATGTTCTGACAGGATAGAAATCTAAATAGCTAAATCGTTCGTCAGCTGTTTCACCTATAGCATACCGATGAGAACTAATATGTTCGAAATCGGTGTATATTTGATAATGCTGTCAATACTGATCTGTATAAGACAAACAATTCCTCTTTTGCAACGAAGTTAGAAGTAAAAAATGTTCAGTGGTACAAGTTTATTAGAAAATTAATAACCATAGAATAATTTACGCCTCCAGATCAGAATTCTGTATAATCCAGCTTAGGAATGATGTGATCCTCGCATAGCCAGTTGGAAGGCCTTGTTGACATCCCGTTTGTGCCACGAATGACGCAACTCCAACCAGGGCCGTTTCCACCACCAGAGGACTTCCGGAATCGCCATCACATCCGCCAACGGCACCTGTGTTAAAGGCATATGTAGCGGGAGTTTTTTTCTCAACATTTATCTAACTTACCAACTCCTGAAGTGCAAATAGTGGAATCTATGATGACGCTGGTGCCGTAGGTCCTGGAACACCAGAAATTCGCCATAATGGTTACGTCCACTGCGTGCAAGGTAGAAGCGATGCTAGTCTGGGCATCTGACAGTCTTCCCCAGCCGGTTAAGGTACCCTCGTAGTCCACGAAAGACCCTGCACTAGCCGAAGCCAAGGCAACCGGTCGGATGTTGTTGTTGAATGTGATGGCATTGGGGAATCTGATCAAGGCGATATCATTGTTGAGGTTAAGACGGTTGTAGTCCGGGTGGACGTTGATGTTTGTGCTGGTGATTACTATTTGGGTGGATTCGATTTCTCTGATGTTGTGGGCCCCCAAGATGATCTGGATGTAGGCGCGACTGAAAAACGAATTGATTCAGAATAATGTCGAGTGAAAGGAGGTACTCAAATTGAAAGCAATAAGCAACAGGCAACAAACTAAGCAATATTGTCTTCTTTTGAGATTTCCTCTCCTTCAAAGTCAAAACATTGTTAAAGGATCGTTATAGTCATCAAATAGTGACATGATGATACAAGACTTGGTTAGTTAGAAATTGCTTATGGAATTAATGTTGGCACTTCTAGACTGCACTAAGAGCTTCGATAACTTCGCGACAGTATCGATCAATCAATTGCTGGGGATCCAAGCTAATCCTCGACTTGACTTGGGATGATCGCACAATGTGTGGAAGATTTAGATTTTATCTAAAACTCATTCAATACAAGTGCTGCTTGTCAAAACGGATATCTTGGATAAGCTCTTGTCAATAAGTTATTATTAAATGTGATTATACCTGTCATTTTGTTAAAAACATTTGATTATAATCCCGAGAAGCAATTGAGGGGATTTTCTTTGTAATTGTTTTTTTAATTATCACGCACTTCATTTGATTACATACAGGGTGACCAAATAAAAACGAAACAGGGCCATTTTCAGGAATCGCGTCAAGATTGTAGAAAAACGCTCAGACCCGTCGATTTTAGATTAAAGGGGGACATTCTTTGGTGGTATTTTTAACTCCGCCACTTTCACCCCCAAGCAAAGGTAAGCATCACCCCAAAATATTTAAATGGCATTGGGGGTTGAGTAATATTTCTTTTTAAAGCTCTTACAATTCTCTTTACAACAGACTTTAAATTTTATAATTCCGCCCAATACTTATTAAGAATTTTTATTTTAAAGTTGAAACTTATGTACAAACAATTAGTAACGGTAAAAATGTCAGTCATTCGAGTTAAGTACGCCAATGGTATAAATTTAGCATTTCTTGCGTTACACTTTCGTAAAAAAACACAATTGTAAAAACCAGAAATGAATGCTACACACACACAATGAACGTAAAATTAGTGTATTCCAAATTATTTTCGAGTATTATTTGGAGGCGTTGGTTGGTAGTTTATTTGTGTTTTTGAAAATTAAACACTATGGTTTATTCCATTGCGGAAAGGGTAGATGTCATTTCGCTTTACTTTATGAACAATAAATGTGCGAATAGAACAGCTCAGCTATTTAATGAACAACATCAAGATCGACATGTCAGGAGGAAGTATGTTCTAGAGTTAGTAAAAAAATTTCAAGAGACAGGCAACGTAGCTAATAAAAAACCAGAAATTGAAAAACCTATAGTTAATGAAGCTAGTGAAATTGCAGTTTTGGGACAACTTCATTTTGATCCTACATTAAGTACGAGGCAGCTGACATCTGTACCTGGGATCAATCGAACTAGCATACAAACCATTTTGAAGAAGAATACAAAATACATTTAGTCCAGGAACTTCATGAGGATGATTCTGACCGCCGTTTGCAATTTTGCGAAATAATGAGTGAACGAGCAGGGAACGATCCAGTTCCTTTTTAACATCTGTTTTTCTGATGAATGCAGCTTTTCTCTTGAGCGGGACGTTAAATCGTCACAATCGCCGCTATTGGTCCGGTTCAGACCTAAGAGTTTTTCACGAGGTGCATACACAGCAACCGGAAAATTAAATGTATGGGCTGGAATTTTCGGTGTCCGGCTGGTGGGTCCTTTTTTTCTACCTGGTAATTTGACTGGCCAAATGTACAATTACTGGAAGACGCTATTGACCCTGCCTTGACTGATATTGTTGAAAATGTTCCAGAGTATGATGAAGATCATTTGATTGATAATAATAATTACTCTGACTTACCCTTCCACGCAGTGACCAGCGGTAAGAACGAAGGTACTGGAAATCAAAACGCCTCCACAGAAATGAGCGCCATCTATGATTAGAGCCACCTGGTACGGTTTAGAATTCGGAACAACTTCTCGCCCGCCGACTATCCTGGGCAAAACGGGTACTGAGAGGTTGCTTACGGGATTGACATACGCATAATTAGGTTCGATTTTCGACCAGTCCAACTGGAAAAGATTAGAACTGGTTTGAATTTTATGGTTATGATTTTTCAAACATTAATTTTGTTGCAGTTTCTTTTCCTTGAAGTCAATGTATCTTCTATAAAAAAGGGGTAAAACTTGATCTGCTGAAATTTGATGAGTTTGCAGTCACACATCTTTTTATTGTTATACCGAGAGATCCAGAATTATTGAAGCGTTTGGGGAACGCAGCCTGTTTCTAACACCATCTTTAGCATATAAAAATCTGTAGTATTGATAGAGACAGGCACAGGCTGCGATCTCCAGACACTTCAATCATTCTGGAGCTCTCTGTATATAAGAAGATTGCAATTAAATTATGCTTATTAGTTTGTGTATAAAAATACAAATATTTTGAATAATTGTGACTGTAAAAGTGAATTAATTTTTCACTACAAGAAAAAATTATAAAACTTTACTCACTGAGGGTAAAGCGTTGGAACAGCCCAAGATGGCAACCAAGACGACAGCGACCTTCATGGTGTTGTTTCGCCTGGAACGACTGGAATAAGGGATATGACAAAAATGATTTATATAGGTCCGAGGATTTTGTTTAATCTCACCTATTAGATATTTATCTGTATCGCTAAAATTAAAACTTGATTGCATCATTACATTTTGATCTGATGTACCTAAAGTACCACTTACAAGTAGCAGCATCCTGCATATACAAGTTTGATAAGATTAAAAAATAAAACTAAAAACAAACTGAAAATGCGTTCTTCCCGATCTTAATTTTTTTTTCTACATAGACGTCGCTTCAAAAACTTATTGAAGGGATATTATAATTTCGTATTAAAGTTATAGCACAGACAATATCGCTTATCGCCTCAGACTGCGCTTTAAATGCTGGAAATTGGCAACCTAAAAAGATGTTTTTAAATATTTTTTCAATTCAACGCACCGTTTCCGTGTTATACGGCCTTTTTCATAATTTTTTAAAAAAAATTATATTACAAGCTGTTTAAAATATTACGAATTTTGTTTATTTGGAAATATATTTTCTGCAGTATATAGTAAATACCAAAAATGAAAATAGTAGCTAATTAACGAAATTATGATTAAATAACCTAACTGTGACACCGCTGCAGAATATCATAAAACTACATAGATATTCGTTGATTCTTTAAAACATTTTTATCAATACCTACATCATACATTTAAGTAAATACAGGGAAAAAACAGATATTGATAAAAAAAAGTTTACAAAATAAATCCGTAAGTACGCCTGGCAACATTGCCAAAGTGTTGTTTATATGTTGCCAGGATACGCGTAGGAATGCGGGCCGCTGCATTTGATTCTTCCTAAAATTCTGCTGGTGGTGTACTCTATCGGCAATTCGGAAATTTAAAACTGCTGTCCTATTCCAGTAGCGGTCTGGGGCGAAGCTATATTGTCTGTGGTTCTAGTTTTACTTAAATGGAATAATATAACACTTGTGCGTACCTTCTCAAAATTATTGTTTTCAGCTTTTGTATACTTTTTTTGAGTACCTACCTAAATAAATTCGGGTGTGAAAGCTCGAATTAAACTTAAACAATTTGCTCGCTAATAATTCTGCTTGAAACATAAACAATAAAAGACAATTTCCTTGATGAAAACTAAATCAGAACTGATGTTAACTCAGGTTTGAGCCAGATACTTTTTTGTTTACTACAAAAAAGACATACAAGTGAACGCTGAGCTATCTATGGCCACAACTAATCGATTAATGCGATGCAGTTCTCAAAAAGTTTTTACAATTTTGACTTATGTCAATTTAAAACACTGTTTTGCAGTTTCAATGGTTTTGTTAATCGGTTTATTATTGATACGTTTTACTTACCATTAAATATCCCATCTATGTTTGTATTAATACTAATACTAATGATATTCAACAAGGAACGTCACTGGAATTGCTAGTAACAGAACGAATTTAGCTATCGTTGTTATAAGTGGTATGATAAGTGTATCAACATCAACATCTAAAAATTAAAGAAACAATAAAAGTCCTTGTGTTTTTGCTACTGGAAATATTTTGTATCTTATAGTATTTTCTTATAAATTGAATAAAATAATGAAGACTTGGCCATTTTTATTAGTAACATTACACTTTTATTTGTCGTAATATTGTATACAAATGATGACATAATTCGATTTATTTCTGGAATATTGTTTTTATGTGCAAAAATACGTTTTAAAGATTATATAAAACACTGTACTTAATATGGATTAAGTTATTTGGAATATATTTGAACTTATTTATAATTATCTGCTTACTTAATAATATCTGACATTTTCTAAGACATTAACTACACCTCAAATCTGCTATGAGAAATGGCTCTATCACCCTCAAGCTTTTTTTTAAATTGACAAAAACCACCGCTAAAACCTAAAGAGAAGCTAACGCTTTGAATTTAACAGATTTCTTCTTAGGCAAAAGAAACTAAACTGAAACTAAACAAGCAGAACAATATAATTACTTTTTGGCTGCACCAAACCTGATATTCTCTGTTACTGTATCTCTTTTATGTTACAATAGATGAATATTTTATTTATTTTCAAATTTATATAATGTAATAACTCAATAAAACTTTATCAAGGTTAATTGATGTGTGAGATTTTAATACAATATCCGAAATCACTTAATTTGTTTATATTTATCTGATACTTTAGAAAATGCATGTTAGATAGACAAATGAACACTTAATTTTATCATGTCAAGAGAATATAACAATTTGCGTCTTACTTTTTTATTCCGTAAATAACAAAAATAATTTAAGCTGGAATTTTTAAATTTACGCAATGGGGTTAAGAGCGGCCGAAAATCTACGGTAGGGATCTGAAGGAGGCATCAAGAGGTGCGATTGAACGTCGACCTTGGTCATACGCAGATCATTACCCAGGATCAACTGTTTTGGCTGTTATCTTTCATGATCGCCGCAACATACAGGGTCGGAAAGATGGCTATAATGAAGGCGTCTAATAGTCACCGCCCATTTCGCCCTTCCACAAATAAGATCCACTTCTTATTTCTGCATGACTTGAATGGTATGGCTCATCGGTACTGCGTAGGGCAGTTGGATCAGAGCTATGTCGTTGTTGAGGGTTGCTTTGCTGTACTGGGGGTGGTTAATGATGCTGGAGGTGGTTACGGCGAGCTGTGTGGTTTATGTCCGTCGGATATTGTGAGCGCCTAGACTTACTCTGACGAAAGACGCATTAGAAATGTCAACAGGATTGTAATTAACAGCCAATCCTAGAATGTTTGTAACTATTAAACGTAAAGCTTGTTGTGGTTCCGTCAGCGGACAGTAACCAAGCGCCAATGACCTCGGAACCGAGCGGGACTATCGCTCTTAATCTACGCCATCTCTATAGGCACGGATATATGTAGAGGCAGGCCCTTTTCCCGTCATCAGGACCGCTGTCGCGGTTGAGTTCTAGTGGTTCGTGGGGTTTCCTTCTGTCCTGGCCTTGGCGCCAATATGTCTTCATTTAGTTATTCTTATAAATGAAATAATCAGGTAGTTTGAATCTTCCTAATACTGTTCTGTGTTGGAACCAAAACTATTTCGATTCAGGTGAGTTACTATTGTATTCTCGAGTATAAAATATACAACTACTCTGAGAAAATACTACAATAAACAATGCAGCATTGTTTTTATTAAATAAAAAGAATACAATGTATTAGCTACCTCAATACTTTATTGACAATATTGCAATATGTATTTAAATTATTATAAATTTAAGTCTCCAAGTAGAGCGAAAGTATTATTGGTTGTTCTAGGTGTGAGAGCGTAAGTTTTCACAAGCAATTTTGTTTACAGCAGCTTCGTATTGCTGGTTGTAGCAATTCGCGTGATTATGTGGGCATATTAATAAAAACCCATATACAACCTAAGTGTTGTTGTAGCTCACGGTAATTTTTTATTATTAATAACATTTGTATATTCAACATATATATCTTTAAATTGGAGACTAGATTTAAACAGTCTCGCTTGGTTGGAGATCTTCTAGACACGTGTGCAGCGCTAAGCATTATTTAATAAAAATACCAAACAAATCTACTTACCATCATATTCCTTCTACATGCATGTGCCATGCTGAAGATGCCATCTACCTCTATGGGATGACACTTATATAAATCCATTCTCAGAACAAGACAAACACTTGAGTGGTGCTTGCCATAACATATTATACTCATATGCCAGCAGCGGGTAAAGAACACATAAATCAATTTTTAAACCACTTTTCTCCTTCATGTATTTATTTATTAGTATTCCTTCATTTGACAGGACAGATATAACTGGCAACCCACGGGATCTGAAGAGGTGACTTACTTGGTCGTAAGTGGACCAGAAGACATGAAGCTGCAAGGAGCCAAGGTATGAACCCTATCGACTTTCGGAGCAAGCTTGGACTCTTGGAATATGAAAACCTTGTTGTAAAACATGAACTATAGTTTGCTTTCCGTATTTTCTTTGTTTTATAATCATCTTAAATTTTAATAATATTTTATATACAATATACTATAACTGGTTTTGTTTCCCAAAAAGATAATTTTTATTCTGTTTTACAATCAAGTCAATCCTACCCGGGCGATTATAATAATTAACAAAATAACGGACTAAATAATTATAGTACCGTGATACAAGTACCTTGGTTTGTCTATTTCTTATCCTCCATTTTGTGATCAATTGTAAGTGACTCAACTATTTGTGATAGCCAGTTTCTTTAATTGTTTTCCATAAGATGCGTGTATTACAAGAAATTGTCAAAAAATATATTTCTGGGCGAACTACTCAAATCAAATTTGTATAAAAAAAATCTTGGTAAAGCTAAAGCCAATGATAACCATTCTTACAAGGATCAATTTTTTTATTCACTTCGATACGGGTGTTTTCGATAGTTCCGAGAGGTTTCTTCTCGAGATAAAAGACTTTTGTTCCAGTTCGATGATTATCTTATCGTATTAACTCATAGAGGTAATTATTTAGTGGTGACTGATCTACTTATCAAAATATGTAACGGAAATTCCATAGGTATATTAAAAATACTGATAGATGGTCTTCTAAATATTATATTCCACACTTATATCCACTTGTATAATTATTATCTCCCTAAATTAATTCATAACAACATAATTTGTGAAACTCCTAAAAACAATGGTAACAAAAATCAGATTTTGTTTAATTTTGGTTATGCTATTCCAATATTTGAGCTTGAAAACTCAAGCAACAGGATCAGCCAGAGATAGAGACAACTGACGAACTGAATGCCATTTTTCGAAGGATACCTTCTTCTCATTTTTATCGGTAGAAATATGCGAATAGACCTAAAACTACAGATGGCATCCGTTCAGAAGTTATCAGAGCTCTTATGATTTTTCCATTCCTTAATCTTTGAAATGAATATTTGATCAGAACGAAGCACGATTTAAGTTGATACTCTATCATATCTCTTTCGAATCATGATTTTTGAAATAGTTCAAAGCTGCCACCATCTGTCGTTTTAGGTCTATTCGCATATTTCTGCCGATAA